TTAAAGACTATAAGTTATGTGCATTTGACCTTGAGCTCTGCAACAAGCTGGCACACTGGCTATTGGAATGGTATGTAAATACTATCGAGGAGAGCTATGGAGGTTTTATAGGCCCATATATCTAAGTCTGGAACAGAGATGCACTCCTCTCTCTCTTTGTCTCTCCCTATGTCTCTCGCCCATTAGATTGTTCCCTCACATCGCTGTGCTTTGCATCCATATGAGCTCAAACCCAGCCCCTCCTATACAAAGCCAACAGCCAACACAAACAGAGTGCATGTCTTCCCTCCTTCTGGAACAGATTTCAGCATGAATACAGGGATGCCAATGGTATACACCGATCAACCACAACATTAAAACCACTGACAGGCAAAGTAAAAAAACCTTGATTATCTTGTTACAATGGCTCCTGTCAAGAGGTGGGATATATTAGACAGCAAGTGAGCAGTCAATTCTTGAAGTTGATGTGCAGCAAGCAGGGAAAGCGCCACACTGTGATAGCTAGACAACTGGGTGAGAGTCTCTGCAAAACAGCAGGTCTTGGGTGGTGTTCCTGGTACAGAGTGGTTAGCACATTCCAAAAGTGGTCCAAGGAAGGACAACAGGGTCATGGAGCTCAACACTCATTATTGCCTATTGGGAGGTTGGTCTGCTGGGTCCAATCCACAGAAGAGCGACTGCAGCACAGACTGCTGAAAACCTTAATGCTACTAAGACAGAAAGGTGTTGGAGCATGCTGTGTCTGGGTCTGTGTGACTATGGACTGGTCTAGGTGCCGATGCTGTCCACCACAGAGGAAGGTGCATTGGTCTGATGAATCACATTTTCTTTTACATCATGTAAATGACCCAGCGTATATGCGTTACCTCTCTTGGCAAGAGATGGCCCTGTTTCAGACCACATACCCCCCTTCATGGCCATGGTGTTCCCTGATGCCAAAAATAAGTCAGATACACAGACATCCCACTTTGCAACTTCAGGGACATACCGGATCTGCTGCTAACTCCTTGGTGCCTGATACCATGGGACACCTTCAAGGATGTTTTGTTCCCCTGATGGATCCAAGCTGTTTTGGCAGCATAGGGGAGACAATATGAGCAAGTGGTTTTCACGTTGTAGCTAATGTGTGTGCATATCTCCAGTCTCAGTTTCAGTAGAAGGGCATTTTTGCAAAGTGCCATTAGATTTGTAGTGATAAAGTACGAGTATTACAATGTGGGTCTAATTTACATTGCTCTGGCTACCATTTGGAATGGTTAAGACATATAATATACTACAGTCACTATTATAAAAGCTTAGGACTGCGAATACAATGACAAAACCGAATAGTTTCTGCCCTCTTAAAAACACCTCCTTTCATTTGTTAATGAAATGCCTGTGTTCCGCTTCGTTACAATGCATTTTTAGATCATCCAGTGGCTGTTCAACTAGTTTATTTAGCTTAAAAAGTAACAGAATGTTTGTAAGAGAAAAAAACAAATACATCAAATTGATAAAATGCTGTAAAAACCTCATTTCTAATTGTGACATCACAGATAGAAACTGGTTAGGTTATAATAAACTGGTTATCCTGAAAAGGTCTGATTCTGGAGAATGATTAATGTTTAGCTGGTTAACATATTTAGATAGTTATCATTAAAGATTTAGCCCCTCACTTCACTGAACCCTTTCCTCCTGGACTTGCTGGAACGGTGTTGTGTGGATCAGTCTAAGCCACTTTGTTTCTCATTTACAAAGTGAGAGCCGTGAACACCAGAACGGACAGCTAGTGGACCGTGAGGAGATATGTGCTGAATATGACAAAAAATGTATTGGATTAGAATTGCATACTCCACCTTTCATGCACCTGTCACTTGCCTGAACTGCACGAGATTATTTTTGACCAGCATGTGGCCCTGGAGGAAAACCCACCAAACTTCCGTCCAATGCCTCCATCATGATGTTTAACACACACACACACACACACACTGGGTTGAGAACACACGTCGGGGGTCCAATTGATTGGGATCAGGGCACGCTCACAGTGAAAATAACGCTTACCGATCACAAAGAATCGGCCTACACACACATACACACTTTGCATGACCAGGCACATACACAGACAAATAGCAGAGGTACTTTCATGCTACAGAACAAAAGCAGCTGAACTTATATATAGACAGAATTTCAAGAGAAAAGCCTTTCACTTTTAACAATCACACAATAATACACATGACTGCATTCATGCATGTGTGCACAAACACACACAATCACACCCATAAACACCTCCTACCCCCTCCTGTCACACCCCACTTTAGAAAATCAACCTTGTTGCCTTTTGCGCTTTACCATTCCCTCCTAGGGCCATGATTGGCTCAAATGGCTCCACGGGAATCGATTCACTCAACTGGCAAGGCTTCCAATCGAAACCAAGTGGAAGAGGAAGAAGAAGAAGAAGGAAAAAAAAGCACACATAAGCACCAAAAAAAAATAAAAGAGAGATTTTCTCGAGCTTTGTTTAGCCTTGTTTTTTGGGTGTATTTTGCCGATATTTCCATTCTGAGCACGCTTCACAACAGGGCAGAGGCTCAAATGTTTGCCCACCCAAACAATGAGGGGATTTGGAGGAAGGAGAAAGTGTTATTGTTAGCAGGAGTGGAGGGACACCAGCAGCCGGAAAACACACACATGAAGGATGCAGGCTACTCATGGGCAGACACGCTACGGTGGACGCAAACATGCACAAGCAGGTGAACAAACACACACACACACACACCTACACACACACACACACACTCTCTCTCTCTTTCCAACACACCCACACACACTAAACAGACAAAAGCCTCATAAGAATACAAACTCAAATCTCTACTCTTTGTCTTCTTACACTTCTTAGACACATACACACACACACACACACACACACACACACACACACAAACATGCATACATGCACAGACTGGTGCAAGCTGCCAGTATTATCAAAGTGAGCGGGGATAAGTTTGTGTGTGTGTGTGTGTGTGTGTGTGTGTGTGTGTGTCGTGGAGAGATGGAGGAGGTGGGCAGCAGACCAAAGCCATCCATCTAGGGAAGCCAATAGTGCACAGCATAGGCTACAGGCTTCACAGCATTGAATTCAGACTCCCACAACACAGACACACACACATATAGTGTATGTACACAGTGTGGTGCCCTTGTGAGGGTTACAGCTCTCAGGGTGTTAAGATGGTGGAGTCCAGAGCCATCAATCTTTATCCAGCAGCCGAGCTTGACCTGCCCTCTGACACACACACACAACACACACACACACACACGCACACACTTGTATATACATACAGTACTACAGTACATGGGTTTATCACCACACACACAAAGCCTCACTCTTTTCACACACAAGCACGAACCACACACCAAGCTGCACAAATTCAATCTCTTTTCTCTTTTCTTTGTGAGCTTCTCTCCATCTTTCTCCCTGTCTTCCTCACTCTCTCCTCATCTTTATCTCTCCCTTGCAGACACCTGCTACAGTATGCATCACGCTAACTGATTGGCGCCTCTAAAAATGATAGCAATCATGAGGCAGACGATGAACAGTGAGAGTAAAAGGGGGAATGACCATTGATTTTCATTCTCATAGGCAGTGAGTTATGGTGAGAAGCTCTGACTGTAAGACAAAAAGATCAGGCCGTGACTACAATCTGAGATGTGGGCCAGTCAATAGTCTGAGCCAGAAAAAAAAGAAAAACACTCGTATGGAGCAGAGATAAAGAGGAGGCTTATTTCAGAATCTAATAGTGTGGGGCGTGTGGGTTGGTTGAATTTCTGTAGGCCTTAACATGTCCATCTGTCTCCTAGTCTGATTTCAATGCTCACCATAGTTCCTACATGGTTCCCATTTAGTGAAGACGTAGAATTTCTAATCTCATCAAACAAGACATCATGCCTGAAACTGCCTGTAGGTTGCTCATTTATTTGAGGTGGGCAAATCAAGCAGCAAAGTCTCTACCAAAGGCTTGTCAGAGTGCTGCTGAATAAACTAAGCTAAGAGTTTGCTCATGCTGCTATAAACAACTGGCCCTGTGATGTATGTATGGAAGCACCACATACGACTTGCCCGTTTGTACAATGAAACATTTTTGTAGTTGTAATCATTTTTCTAGTTTATACTGGTCATCAAAACGTCCCTCCAACAGAACTTTGAGTCACATTTGCAGTCCGAACTCTGCCTAAAATACATCGAAATGTTCCGTTGATGCTAATAAGAGACCTCAGCAGTGGCAGTTACACAAATTAAGCACTCATCTACCAAAGTTGCTATCTTTTTAGTAAAATATTCTCTGTGAGTGTCACTACAGTGCCCCTCTACCACATATCAGTAAGGAAACACTCTCTGAGAGAATAATGAAATGAACTTTCTGTAACTTTGGTGCCCACTTCATTTTATCAGCTGTGACTGCTGAAGCTCCATATTCAGTGCAACTGAACTTTGTCCCCTATAGCTTACATTGTAAATTGTCTTTTTAGTAAATTTCCTGATTGCCAGTATGGACATGAGGAACATTTATTGCAAACAAAACATTTCAATGAACTTAACATAGGGCATTAAAGTAATTTATTAAGATATACATCGAAAAAAATGTGAAGATACAATTTAAATAATCTCACAATTCTATATCCCATGCTTTCTCTTGTAAGAATCACACTTTTTATTTCCTATTTGCTGTCATGATATGGTCCAAAAATAAGCCAACAATCAGTCGGACAAGATATTCGGAAATATAAGAAAATACGTCTGTGGATGTTCATGTCACTGGTTCCCAACCTGAGAGTTAAAAGATGACTACAGGGGCCCCTATAGCTCACCTGGCTGAGCGAGCAACCCATGAACAGGGGCTATAGTTCCCCGATGCAGCGGTCATGAGTTCGACCTTTTCCTGTCTCACTTTCCCACTATCCTAACTAATAAAGGCAAAAAGGCCAGAAAAAATAATTTAAAAAAAAAAAAAAAAAGATGACTACAGGGGCGCCCCTATAGCTCATCTGGTTGAGCGGGCTACCCATGAACAGGGGCAATGGTTCCCCGACGCAGCGGTCATGAGTTCGACTCACACTCATGACAGTTTGCTGCAGGTTTCCCCCCCTCTTCTCCCCCCTTTCCTGTCTCACTCTCCCACTATCCTAACTAACAAAGGCAAAAAGGCCAGAAAAAATAATTAAAAAAGAAAAAAAAGAAAGATGACTACAGGAACAAATGCCATGTGGTGGATTTTTGCTGATGTCTCCTATGCCAGTATTTTCCAACCTATTTTGACCGATGCTGACACAGATAATTATGCAGATTTTTTCTAACTAATTCCAGAGAACATTAAGGCTCTCATGTAGTGGAATTGCTATATTATTATGCCTACTCTTATTGACATGGCCAATCTACACATCTACAGAAATTTTTCACAGTGCCTCTTGGTACTGAATAATAAATGTTAGCCTTACCTTAATTGTCAGTGCCCATACACATTTCCTAAAATATTATGTCAATAATTTAACAGGAATAAAGGTGCTGGGAAATGTTTTGCTCTATTTGACAAGGATGATCTGGGAGTTAAAGTAAGTACACCATAGATCTTCTTTGGCTATACTATAAGCAGTGTTCTGTTTTATTATAATTTCTGATTCTTTGTTGCTTATGTTTGCTGCTGCCTGACGCTGAAATACTGCGAGGGGAGCTGCTCTGTCGGCCACGTACCTGTCATAACACAGGTCAATGCTCTGACAGCAAAAAAATTAAAAATGCCCCCAGCCATGTTTTGCCCAATATCTTTTCAACAAATGCAATGGATGGTGTTGGATGTTTTATACGTCATACGTCAGTGTTTCCAACAAGTTGAGGATTTACCTGCAGTGTTGGGTGCTGATGTGACTGATGTGCATGAGGGGCAATTGTAACTTAGATAGTTTCTAAAGCTACAGTTTACAGATGTTTCTTAAACGCCTCACATGCAGATATGTAGACATCACAGTCTAATAATTGTGTTTAACACCTCTATTGCATCATTAGATGCTACAGTTTACCAGTGAACAGCTTCTAGTCTTCACTCAGTTACTGCAGTGCATGCAACTCAGACTTGTTCAAAACTTAGTTTGAAACAAAGGGAAAAAAGGCATTCTAATATAAGATGTACTTAAGTGGAAACTAAGTGATTTTCTCGCCCTGGGTGACAAAGACACAGACCCTCACACACAGCGACAGACCTGTCACATGTCCCGGTATCAAGTAAACCATTGTTAAGTCACACTTGACAATTTTTTTGGTTGCTGGAGTCCTGTTTAGTTTTTTTTTTTTCTTTGTCATGCCAAACATCTGAACCATTCTGCATGGAATCACAAAACAATGCTACTGTATATTTTAAAAAGTTAAAAAAAAATACAAATGCCACGATATTTCATTAAACCAATACTTCAATATCAATATGTACATTTAAAAATACTTGAGCATGAAAGCTTGGTAAAGACACTAAAAAGTTTGATGAAACTTCTGCCAATGAAGTGAGATGAAGCTTAACGCTCCTGAAAAAGCTGGTAAACAAAGCTAGAGTTAACGTTGTTTTATCAATTGTTGTATTTTATTGAGCCACAGACAATAAATCTAAAAAATTACATCTCTTAAGTGTAACAGAGCTTTAACGATCTGGAAAAGACATGTAAGGTAATAGTGATGTCATTTACCAGAATGGTACAAATGTCTCAACAATATGAAAGCCTTTCAAGGCGCCTTCGCCTCGTGTTTGTAGTTTTTTTCAATCTCTGTATGTTACAAGGGCTCCTGTCCTAGTCTGCAAAAATAATAATAACAATAAGCCATCACACAGATATACATGGGAGCCCAACACACTAATGCGCACTGCTGTGGATCAAAAGAAGAACTGCACTTGGATCACTCGTACTGCGACTGCAGCCGTTCCCCAGCAACACCTACCAGGCAGCGTTGCCGTGGGCGCTGTCATCGAGGCGACAGAGCAGCTCCAGGGTCTGAGGGTTGTGGGCGGAGTCGTCAGGTGACTCATGGCTTCCTGTCTCCCAGTCAGAGGGCATCCGCCATACTGCCGCACAGGACACCAGCCTGCTGTCACTGGCTGGAGGGGGGCAACACACACAAAAACTCAGTCACAGATTGTTAGAGTGCAGTGTGTGTGTGTGCGAGTGTGTGTGTGTGTGTGTGTGTGTGTGTGAGTGTGTTTGTGTGAGGTGGGAAGGCGGTAATGTTGTGACGTGGATACACTTTTCTTCCTAATCCACATCATAAATGAGTTATTTTGGCACATCCACACCAGAGCCTGAGCTGCTAATTGGAACCAGTGGAGTAAATGTAGAGCTGATATAGTAATTGGACTAAAAGTTTGAGAGTGGAAAGCATAGCTAGTCACAGAGAGAGAGAGAGAGAGAGAGAGAGAGGGAGAGAGAAGGGAGAGAGACAAGAGAGAGAGAGAGCACAAGGGAGCCTAATTTCTTTTTTGTGTATATATTGACAGTGTGTGGGCAGGCGTTGGGCTATGAAACACAGGCGTTAGGCTTATTTGTCAAATTAAAAAGCAACGTGGTGCACGTCCACAGCCTCTTGAGTGGTTTTAGACAACCTTGCACTTGGAGTAAGTGGCCAAGCAATCATTGTGAACAAAAGCCTTCTCTTGCTCACATATTGGGAAATCAGTGAAAGACGGAACAGGAACGCTGTATGTGTGTTGTGTGTGCGTGTTCATTATTCAGCCATCTATTGTGTGTCTACATATGCAAATATATAACATAGATGTAAATATAAATACATATGTAAACATACAATAGATGTGTTGTGTGTGTTAGCAAAGGGGTCATGTACCAATGCAGTCGTCATCATCATTAATTAATGAAAACATGACAATTATCCCAATGTTTGAACATAAAACAACGAACTATGATACATACATATATATATATATATATAAAGCTAAAAATATATCAGTACGCTATTGTGTGTTCAAAAATTGGTATAATTGTCATGTTTTCGCATTAATTAATGATAAAAAAGACTACACTGGTACGACTCCTTTGCTCGTTTAAGTAAAAAATATTACATCTCGTCAGAGCTAAAAGAGTTTAACACAGATAAGTAAACAAGACTTTTCCAGTTTTTTAAGTCAGAGTGTTTGATCCTTTTTTATTCATACCACTAGGCTACAATCACAGTATTTCTCCTGTCCACCAAATCTAAGCTAAACTGTTCAAAATCCCAGGTTAGTTACTTCTGGGTAACAGCCATGACGGCCTTGGACTGCTACAGTTTATGTCATTCAAGTTCAGTGTAAATATTGTACGGAAAACCAAAAGACGTGTGTCAATTTGCACAATTTGGAAGAAAACCTTACAAGAAAGCACAGATAATTTGCACGTAACCTTCAAGATTTTTTTTCCTGCCAGACAGTGACTTTGTAGCTGCTGCCATCATCCCTCATGTGGGTCATCATGTCCACACATTAGTACTGATTCTATCAGAGTCTGAACATGACTTCTACCACAGCTGCTACTGTTAAACCTGTAAAGACAGTGTCACCTATTAAAGACCTGTGCATGGAGTCATTAGACATTAAAATAAAAAGAAGCTAGAATTACCACCTCAGGGTTAAATACCCAAACAAACCAGACAACTCACGGTCCAATCTATGTCTCTCTGTAAAGCAAAAGTAGTGGCGGTCCCACTTAACTGTGCTTCAAACACAGATGTTGCTGCAAAGAAGCTACAAATTCTAAAGCGTGGATGATGTCGCAGTAAAGGTGACCTTTGACCTTTTGGGTTTAAATGTCATTACTTAATCATTTAGTCCAGGGGTGCTCAATCCTGGTCCTCAAGAGCCCCTATCCAGCATGTTTTAGATGTGTCCCTCTTCCAACACACCTGATTCAAATGATCAGCTCATCATCAACCTCTGCAGAAGCCTGATAACGATCCTGATCATGTGAATCAGGCGTGTTGGAAGAGGGACACATCTAAAACATGCTGGATAGGGGCTCTCGAGGACCAGGATTGGACACCCCTGATTTAGTCCCATTAGACATTTGTGTAAAATTTTTATCATAATTAGCATATGAATTCCTAATCATGGCCAAAATGTGTTTTGTGATGTTTCAGCAATTTGATTTGATTTGTCTTTGATCTTTGGCCACCAAAAACTAATTAGGTCATCCAAGACATTCGTGACATATCACATTCACAAGAATGGGACCTATGGACGTACGTGTGAACAGACGGCATCCCAAAAACATAAATGATATGCAAAAAAAAGAGACAAAAGAAAAACAACAGAATAGAAAAAAAGGAGAAACATAAAGAGGCAGTGAATGGAGCCAAAGACAGAAGGAAACAGTAGGACTCACTTTTGTTATAGCAGGTGGTAAGCACAGCCTTATCTGCAGGACTGGCGCCAATGTGCCATATCTCCCCAGCTTGGTGCAGAAGGACATTCTTATTAATGATGTTATTCTCATCATCAAAGTCAATGATGTGGATCTGAAAGAAAAGCAGAGACAGAGAGGAGATGTGTTGAGGATGAAGCTGAAAACCACTCAGTGCACCTCCCTCCACTCGCACCAACTGCAGTTCAAAGCTCCACTCACTCCTCTGATTCCCCTGGAAAAGAAGAAAGTTTCACTTTATAATATGACAGCAAACGTAATTTCAAGGCAGTAGTCGCTTTGGTTCCTTCTTCTTTTTTTTGGTCCCGTCAACTTCATACAGCTCAAGATTTTCATCTTGATTTGGCCTTTAAAGCAGCGATTAAGACACTTTTAGAAGTCATGTTGGATTCATGGGAGTTATGTGTATGACATGTTGGGGAAATCATGGGAAAATGGATAGCAAAAAGGAAATTGATAACAGCTCATTTGTGTTTTTAGACAAGTAGCACTGCGAAAAGGGGAGCTTTAATTGGGTACTTTCTTAAAAAGAGATTTCATGTAAGCAAACCTTTGGTAGAATATGATCATTTAGCTTTAGCTACGAGTACCATAACCTCAGATGTCGAATTTTGATCTGTGTGTAATAATGGAAGGTATTAATTAGGTACACTGTGGCAGTCATGAGTAGTAACAAAATTCAACAGGGTAACATTTATTCCCACAGTGTTAGGAGAACGTAATCCCACCATCCAGATACCATTCAGCACTAACGTCTGATAAAAGATGTTAACACAAATCTACTTACTTTGTCCTGAACTTTCAACTGCATCTTACAGTCATTCCTCATTACATGGAGAACTGTAAAATGTGGTTGAAAGTTTTGAAAGCTTGTATGACAACACTGAGGTTTTGGTTTTTTTTTTTTACGAAGGTAGTGCTAAGAATCTGCTCGGGTGAAATATATATTTTTTTTAGCTTGTTTACATGTCCAATGGTGTTTTTTGTTTATTTACTTGAAGACATATTATGAGCAACAACAGTAAAAAAGAAACCCTATGGTTGAGCCTTTTACCATGAAACTGCAGCGTATCGATGTCAGTCACACAACCCTCTGAGGTATCGTACATTAAGGACACAATCCTGTCAACTCGTGTAGCGTAGAAAAGTTTCACAGTATATGAGCAGAGCTGCAGGAAAGCTTGTGAGCTCGAGCTGCTGAGAGTGGGGAGAAGTGGGTGGAGAGAGAGGACTATGTAGATCCCTTTTATAAAGACTTCTTTTTCCTGGTTCCAGCCTACTTTCCTTTAGAATTTCAGGACACCTGACAACCAGGGGTGCAAAAACTACACATTAGTTATAACAGTTATACATTGTCTACTATATGAGGCTTAAAGCACCAGCAATGCGTTCAGGTTTCCTTGACCTGGTATAATGCCGAGGCCATGGCTACACATGAAAACACAATCAACAGCTGTGAAGACTTTACAACACACAAGTTCAAGAAAAAAAGCAAAACTTTTATCCATAAGAAGTTAATAGAAACTCCTCCTAACTGAGGTCTTTTCATTAGATGGAAATCTATTCTATGAGGGCCCTCGATTGAATGCAGTTCAGGGCCCACAATGCAGTAAAACAGTGAGGGTCTCAAGGTTTGATCAGACAATTAATGGTGGTTTCTCCCATAAGAAAGACACTTACAGCACCTTGGGGGACTGTTAATGGGGTTGCACTGGACAATAACTCCCGCTAGGCACTTCCACTCCCCTTGCCTGTACTACTTTTACAGGCTGAACAAGAAGATGAAAGGAGGAGGTGTGAGGGGGAGGAGAAGAGCATCGGAGCGGCGGCATCCTTCAGCCTCCTCAAAGTCAGCTAGGCGGCTATTAACCTTGGGTTGGACTGCATCGAGCAAAAAATTATTACGCAAAGTTATAATTTTATGGTGGTGGGGGAGCAGTACAAATAAATTCAGGCCGGCGGGACAGGGTAATTGGAGGGCCTAGTAATAGGGTCCCCCTGAATGAACCCAGGTGTGAGAAGAGAGAGAAGTTCCAGCCCTCCTCCCCCAGGTGATTTATCCCTCATTCATCCAAGCCTGGGGAGTGACTCATAGCCTTCAGCCACTTGGGCACCCAGCCCAGCGCTTTTAATTATGTGCCGATGGTGGGAAGAATCAAGGCAGGGAGGAGGAGAAGAGGGAGACTGGTAAGAGGGGGTGAGGGAGGGATAAAGCCAAGCTGGCTTGTGGCCCCCACTTCATGGGCTTCTTCACTAAAGCTCTTTAGCCGCACAGATGACAGTAAGCGGGGTGGAGGAGTAGTGAGCGGGTGAGAGGTGCCAAGCTCGGGCGCTTTATCTCGTTAGCAGACTTAAATGCCATGCCGACGCGCCCTCCGATCTGTCATTCCAGCTATTGGTCTCTGAGGGATTTGAGAGGTGCTCAGCGAGTTAAGAGAGACATTTCCACCCTGCATTATGCTTAATGGGAGGTGGAGAGGCCAGCAGGCTTATGGATACAGCAGAAGCTAGCAGGGCTAAAATGCCAATCGAAAAAACATTTTTCATGTAAGTTCAAACTCAGACGAACTGAGCTAACCAATGTTGGCCGGCAAACTTATGCAGAGTGGGAAAGACAATGAGCTTCATGAATAAAACGCACTGCACGGACTGAACTCACACTTCAAGAGAAGGGCCACGTCTAAGAACATGAATGATCGCTTTTAGGTTGCACAGCGTTGAACTCTCTTTGACATTAACAGTAGAAATCAAAGCAGAAGTATATGTTTTACATTTTAACAACATCTTCCGTAAAGCAACAATTTAGAAATCAAAAATAAGATGGCAACAAGAAATAGCACTTCATTATAAGCATTGTGTAAGAACAGCAATTGGTGGTTGTTTGCATGCAACACTATGAAAAAATCTTCAATACACAATACGGTACAATCTGAATTTAGAACTGGAGCACGACAACGTAAAGTGGGCAGGATTGTCTCATTGTTTTTAGGAATTCCAAAAATAATCAGAAAGCATCAGAAGTTTATAGTTGAGCAAAAGAGAACTTTGTGTGAAGCATACTGAGACCGCGACTGTATCATAATCCGAATGCTTTAATTGAAGACGTTTCACAATCACGCTTTCAACAGTGGCCTTTAAAACAAACAGTCCATCGAATAAATGAGCAACAAGCACCTTTATTACTATTAAGTCTAATAATTGTCCGAAGATTATCTTTTCAGTAGCATGAAGAATTCACCTCTTTGGGGTTCTTGCATTTCTGCTCATGCTGGAGGAAAGTGTTAGGAGTATATTAAGCTACTGACAGTGTGTAATAAGAAATCACACAGATCGACTGGGATGCATTGTCACCATTCCCAACAAGCTCTGTATTAGCCTCACTACACAAGACTTGGATTGAACTACGTCTGCGTTCAGTGCCAGACTGTTTTCACACTGATGTCTGCCAGAAAATAGGCTCGCTTTTTCAAGGCAGAAATCTCTCTCTCTGTCTTTCTCTCATCCTTCTCTCTCTTGCTCGCTCTCAGAGAGCTAATTATTTCTCCCCCCGTTTAGAGCCAACTGTTTCTGTCATCTGTCTCTGTAATGACCTCTGCAAGATGTGCATGCATGCATGCATGCACACACTCTCGATTCTCCTTCACACACAGACACAAACACACTCACAGCAGAAAACCCTCACTAACAGTCAAGCACGCACAGGACTTTCCAGAGAAACCACAGATGAATATACAACATAGATGCACATGCAGCAGATCGGTTTATCAATTAGGAGGCACCAGCTTCAGTGCAGCTGTATGCTGAAACAACCAGTTCATGATGATCATAAAAAGGATATAATGATATAAATGATCAATCAACATATAATTAATCAACAGTAACTTTGCTGTTTCACCTGTTTAAATCTGGATAATTTAGTTGATTAATTAATTAGCCTACTGACAGACTAATAATCTGTAACTACAGCGGTTTGATAATTTGTTTATTGTTTCAGTCATTATTCAACCACAAATGACGACTCAAACGATTAGTCCCTTGGTCAGTGTTGACTCGTCCCTCTTGACAACAGGTTACTTGTTATGAGGACAAACAAAATTTTACTGGTTTCAGCTTTTTCTATGAGGGAATTGGATTCTCATTCACAAAATACAATCACTTTGGCAATCCAGAATATTGCTACAGGTTGTTTTCTTTTACTGTTTTCTGACATTTGATCGTCTGACTTCTAAGGAAATCAGCAAATTAGTACATAATGAGAATAACAGTTTGCTAAAGCCACAGTTCTTTCTTTTCATGTTCTTAAATTATAGTAAACTAAATCTCTAACTTTTTGTTGTGGACTGTTGACAGTTTACGAAGAAAACAATCAGCTAATTATTATGAATGTTAAATGCAGCAATTTATTAGTTTAGCTCACTGGTTCCAGCTTCTCAAATGTGAGGATCTGTGGCTATTCTCCATTTATCTGAGTATATAACAAATATATTTTGGTTTTAGACTGTTTGTTGGACAAAGCAGACACAAGCAAGCAGAGGATTTCAGCTTGAGCTGTGGGAAGCTACGACGGGATTTTGCACAATGCGGTCTGCACATTTCATAGATGGAATGTTTAATTAATTTAGGATTGCATAATTCATTTAGAGTTGCCACTATAGGATTATTTCCATTAATAATTCCTTAGTTGGCTTTTTTGATCAACTGTGGTTTATTAAATGGCAGAAAAAGTTTCTAAATCCCACAGTGATATCATTTCATTTTGTTTCTTTTGTGAACACAACAAAATGAGTAAACGAGTTCACAAAGATGCGAATCAGAGAAAAGCAGAAAATATACACAAAGGCCTACAGCTGCAAACATATTTCTTAATGATTAATCAGCTATCAGAATGAACTAATCTTGGTGAGTGAAAAATGTTCTAATGTAATAATAGTTTGTAATTGAATTGTTTTAGCACTAAATTCAAGGATTCAAGGATTCAAGGACTTGAATGGTCACAAACACAGTTATACACGGTATAACGCGCAGTGAAATGCTTTATGTACCTGTTCCACAACAAAACAGTATTTAGATGAATAAAAATAATGAATAAAGCACACAAGAAATATATATATATATATATATATATATGTGTGTGTGTGTGTGTGTGTATATATATATATATATTTGCCACAGTGTTCTATAATGAAAACATTTTTTAGTTGCAGTCCTATTCCTATGCCTATAGCCAGCACACACTCCACAATACCCCACACCAAAACCCCGGTTTGGTGTGGTTTAGCCTACCTTAAACCTGTGAGTGTGTGAGTTACTGGCCAAAAGCAAAGGAACTATGCACAATGAAATTATCATGTACTTCGGTTAGTGTTGCTTCAGAAATGACATTTAAAAGCATGAATAGAAACAAAAAAAGAGCACTATGTTACCCGCAATGTAAAGTTTTACAAATTGTTCTGTAGTAAATATGATATTTGTCGCTAACTGCATGTTCTTTAAGTTTTCTTTGAATGCTTTTTCAAACTATTTTGATCATCATTTTAAATGCAAGACAACACATAAGTCCCATTTTGGCCAATTTTCTATTTGAGACTTCATGACACTGACACTCCATTCACTGAGTAAGACTGAAAGATGTAGATGGAGACTTTGGAAAAAGGCTCGTGAATAGGCTTAAAGTTATTTTCCTCTGAAATCCTGATCTCACATGTACACACTCTTAAGAGTGTCTCCTTGGTCTTTGGTGTTCAAGTAGTTCCTGCAAAGTATCCTGCTGCAGTATGAATCCTTCTCCACAAAGATGCAAACCAGAGGCTGGAGCATGTCTAAAAAGAATAGAGTACTACTTCTCCTTTTTGTTCGAGTAGAATAAACTTACTCTAAAGGTGTCCAGTAGCAAAACATCCCCTTGAATCTTCCCAGCAGCATGTTTCAGGGTGGGTTTGATCCACTGTGGTCTCATTCTCTGTCCTGCTGGTCTCCCTACATTCACCCTATGTTACTGCCACTCATCTATAAATGGGATTCATCAGTAAATAGGACTTTTTTCCAACATCCACTGTGGAATGCTGCTATGTCTCAGCCCACCCTAAGTGTTCTGCCTTGTTTTCCCTTTCTGAAAGGTGGTGCACAGAATTTATTTGTGTGCAGGCAGTCTGTGCATCAAATACACTACAAGGGCCATTAGTGCACATGGTCAGCAGTCGTGCGCATGTATGGAATACACAGATACAACCTACTGCGTCTGTATGAAATGAAGTCCTCCAAGTAGACTACAGAAGTGTTATAACAGCAACAACCGTGCATTTGTGGTGCACTGTTCTGCTGGAAACGTAAGGTACAGTTGAATAACAGGTGAGCAATGGCTGCAGGTTGATCTAGTTGAAAACGCCTCTGATGACTCCATCTGACCGGAGTGTCATTTTAGCGCTGCTTCACTGGAAGGATACAACGCAAGGAAATCTAACCTTTGTACAAAGAAGTTAACACAGTCACTGACACTCATTTGCTTCAGTTTGACTGCTGATCTAGAGCTCTCATATTCATTTTACATATTATTATTGTGCTAAATATTACCACATACTTAGGTTTTATTATTATTTTCAGGTTTGCATTAAAATATTACAGACTTTCAATATGGTCTCAAACTTCCAGATGCCCCTGTGTGTTTGATCTACATGCAGAAAGTCTTTTAAAATGTCCACACATGGTAGGATCTTGTCCTTTGTTGTAAATGCTGAGCTGAGCAGATGCAGGACAATGTATGTCTCAAGAAGAAAAACTAAGGCAGCAGACAGCAATGTAGGTTCAATGATTCTGTCTATGATGAAACTACTATTATTACTATCGATTGATTGGGGACACAGACTGCCACCACAAACTAAATGAGTGACAACAAGAGCAGCTTTTTTTTGGAGAAAACATCCTTTACATGAAACGGGATCTTTGTTAATTGTGAACTGTTTTACTTGCCTGGTTGTCAAATTTCAGTGACTGTGTACCCACAAGGAAACGAATGGCATCAGTCTCAGCTGTCTGGGCAGTAAGTGCTCGTGCCTGTAAAGTACAGAAGAACACATAAAACACAACATGTACATGAATAGAATAGAATAGAATAGAATAGAATAGAATAGAACAGAATAGGACTGAATAGAATAGCTGTCAGTCAGTGATAGTAATGAATGGTGTGACGGTGGAGCAACAACGCGTACCTGAAATTCCAGACCGTAGATGACAGGAGCGTCGTCCTCCATGTTTTAGTCTGCTGCCAGCGCCTTTTTATCCTTTAAAAACGATGAGAAGACGAACAAAACACTGCACTTGTGCTACGTACAGCTCAAAACAATCCACAGTCGCTGCACTTCCGCGATTCAAAAAAAAATAAACGTGCGACTAAAATACGTACCAACGACCATGTAACGTTGCGTAGGCTTTTTAAAGTACGTACATGAAGATGAAGAATACCAAAAAAGTCGGCGACATGAAGTTTGTCAGGTCTGGAGCGCCGTACATGTAAGCGCTTTTCAGTAGCGCATGCGCACCACGGTTCTACCTGTCACTGCACAGTACGGTAAGAAAACACCGACAGTCCTGTTTGTGTTTCAGTTTTTATTTCTTGCCTTTCATTGCCTAGTAATAACAGTAGTATATTAGTGTGCTCCGTTCATTTCAAATCGTGGACAGCTATTGGCAAAACATGACAGCTGGAAGTTCTTGCTCAGCTAAGCTAGCTTACGTTAGCCAATCTGCTAATGTAGCTTGAGCAACATAGCCAGCATCAAATAGAAAGTATCCTTCGATGTGTCAGGTAACGGCTCTACCGTGACAGCACTTTGAGCGCGTATAAAACACGAGAAAATGGCCTACTCAGTGTAGCTGTAATTCAGTGCTGATGGTAAGAGCTTGTAAAATGTTGCTTTTGCTGTCAATGGCAGGAAGTGACTACGACAGACGTTGTAAATTGTGATACCCATGGACCGCATAGACGTTGCTGGTATTTCACTGTTGACCTTCCAGTATTCATTCAACCCTTATTTAAACTCTGAGTATATTTAGGTAGAGAGGCCTCATTTACAATGTAGCCAAGTAAGAAAATGAAAGATGTAGGCGCACAAATGAGGAACTAGGGTAATGTTAAAAGACAAAGTTAGTAAAATAATAAAAGCAGAGCATTTAAGTTAGTAAGGTGAATGAATAAGCTGAAACAGGGAGCAAAGAATGAAACTGAAGGTCTGAATTAATATAAGAATTAAAATAAGTGAGGCTTTAGATTGTTCTGAGTTGCACAGTGAGTATAACTGTCACACCTTACAGAGATGGAGGAAGACCCAGCCTTAGCATCCAGCTCCCAATGATGAGTTTTATGACTGCAATTTGTAATAGATGTTAATACAGAAAGATAAATAGTGTCCAAGAGCTTCAGAGTCGTGGCTGATGCATGCATATATAATGTATCATCATGACTCAGTACTGACAGGAAACCTGCCTTAATAAGCAGTTTTCTACAATGCAGAGAGGAACATGATTTATTCCTGCAAAAGAAACCAATTTTTAGTCATGGTTTAGTCACCACATAATATTTAAATGTCAGCTTTTTATCTATCCATATTCCTGGATATTTGTAGTCCGTAGCTGTTTGAATATATTTATCATTCATGGTAGAGATTACAAAGCTGTCATAGGGAATTTTTTGGCCTCAGGTGAAGATCATGTATTTGGTTTTATCTGCACTGTGAACTAATTTATGCTTATTAGGTGCAACATGTACCTGAGTAACGCAGTCTCGAAGGCTTTTGACAGTGGAATGTACAGTATCCACACTATAGTACAAAATAACGTGAAAAAGGTAATGTTGTCTGATGCTGTCTTTTAACTGTCAAGAGCAGTAAGATGGATACAGGGGAGAGTCCTGCCCAGCGGCCAGTCACATTGGACATCACAGTGGAAGATGTAAGCAAGGAGGCCTCAGCTCCAGCCCCTCCTGAGCCAGCCACCATCCAGACTCCTTCCAGAAGCAACATCCTACCCCAGGAGGACAGCATTGACCTGGGTGGGGAGTTTGCCACACCACAGGAGGACAGCAGCGCCACACCCTCAGAGAGCCTGATGGACAAGCTCAACGACCAAATGATGGAGAGTGTCATGATTTCGGACTCACCCAATAACAGTGAAGAGGATGATGTAGCTCCCATTGACTCCTTTCTGGATGGACCTGAGAACGACAATGCAGGAGAGACTTCAGGAGACAAAGAGGAGCAAAGTGAAATTGGACATAATACAACTGAGATTAAAGTTTCAGTAGAGAAACAGGAGGAAGAAGGTTTGGAGGAGAACTTAGAGGAGGACACAACGGAGCTGACAGATATACAAACGCAAGTCACGGCTTGTGTTTCACCTCAAGGTGACACCCAGAGTCCATCTGATAGTCTGAGTGAGGAAGCAGCATCTCAGTTAGCCAAAGCGAATAGCCCAAAAGATGAGCCTATACCAGTGTGCACTATATTCAGCCAGGGCACACAGCCGAAGTCTCTGGTTCCTGATGGCTTCCAGCCCACTCTGATCAAGTCCCCCAGCTTTAGCATGGGGAGTGGTGGTGGAAGTGATGGGGCTGTGACCCCCAGCAAGCTGACAGCACCCCTCGTGTGCCAGCCCAGCCCTAGCCTCAGTAAGTTCTTCACTGACAATGGACAAGCTAATCCAGCCTCTGACTTCTTTGATTCCTTCACTGCTCCCTCCTCTTTTATTTCTGTGTCCAACCCTAATGCAGACATTCCTCCTGGCACCAGCCCTGCACCAATAGCCCCTACACCTGAGCGCCAACTGTCTTCTACCTCCTCCTCCATTTCCACCCCTGGTGGACCCTTGGACTCTGGTGCTCCCACCCCTAGCTCAGTGTTTGGCTCTGCCCCTGCTGAATCAACCACAAAGCCCCAGCCTCTTCCATCTCAGACAGTCCCAGCTCCAACTCAAGCCCCTGCCTCAGCACCAGCCACTCAGCCACAGCCCTTCAACCAGCTCCAGGCTGTGTTTTCAGGGAGTGATGACCCATTTGCAACAGCACTAAGCCTGAGTGAGGTGGATAGGCGCCATGATGCCTGGCTGCCCGGTGAGGAGACCAGGAAGGTGTTGATCTCTGTTGCCACCCAGCAGTACAGCCCAGCCTATGTAGAGACCAACAGACTCACCATGCCTGGACTCAAGTTTGACAACCTGCAGGTAGGACAATCACTGAGCCAGTAAAATGTTTATTATTCAGCATGTGCAGAAAGAAAGCCCAAAAAGTAATTTCTGTCTTGCAGTATGCAAAAGTGTTGTTGTTTTTAAAGGGATGGTCCACAAATTGTGCACAAAACTCAACAGAAAGTTTGCTTAAAATCTAGTGTAGGAGTTTGAAAGACACAGGTCGTATAAAACGTGGAATGTCTGACGAATAATACTGTAATTAAGTTCCACTACATGTAATGTAGGATGAAAGTTTTTTTTTTTGTAGCTTAACCTAGACATTGTAGGGAGTAAAAGTCAGGATATTTGTGCCTCTGTTGCTTCAGTTTTGCCCATTACTGTTATTAAGACTTTGTGGAAGTACAATATTGTTATTACCTGTAAATCAAATAAAGAATTGATGATTTTCACTGTTACTGTTAAAATAATGACGAAAACAAGTGTTTACAATCTCTACCAGAATGAGAAAGAAGTTTCATTACTCCTACTTTTTAGGGCTGCGAGTGATGGATACTTTTGGTTTTTATTAATCTGTTGATATTTTTTTTTTCCATTAATTGTTTAACCATCAAAATCTAAAAAATTCAAAACTACACAAACTCTAATTAATTTTTTTAAAGCAGCAAGTCCTTACATTTAGGAAGTCTGAACATTGAATTTTTTTTTTTTTTTTTTTGCTTAATTAATCCACCATATAGATTATAAAACTTCTTGCTGATTGATGCTGCAATGATTGACCAATAAGTTGATAAATTGTTTGTGATACTAGTTTGGTCAAACCACTCTAATTAGAAGGCATTGTTTTAAATATTGCAGTAGTATCTTAAAAAAACAAGTTTGCTGACCTACTATGTCAGGAAATGTATTCGCCATAGGCTCTATCTTGAAGATTCATAAGTTTAAACATTCTGCTATCTTCTTTTGTCTGTCACTAGTCTTGCATAGCCAGACCATTCTGCAGCACAGAATGACTGCACCCCATTGTCATCTTGCGATAGGGTAAAAAAAGCATGAGCTGAGCCAATGATGTCTCCTCAAAATAATGATGGGGGAATTGTTTGATCAATTTGGAGGGACATTTGCATGCTGGAAGGTGGGAACTGTCATTAAAATGACAAATTGACAGAAAAAAGTAGGAGAGCTGCCTTATCGCACAATTCAAATTCTCAGCAAAAACTGAAAATTTGGAGGGAGGTCAGGATCTAATGGCAGGGCACACTGTGTCAGCCTTACACGTCTTCACATCAGGCAGGTGAGCTGTCAGAGAGGCACTGTTTATCAGCTGCAGTTTCATATTTTGTCACATTATAACAGTCTCCAGGTTGAGTCCTGAGCTTTCAGTTTCAGTGTTTAAGAAATCAGAAATAAATTGGATTGGTAGTCATTTGGACACTTTGATCAGTTGCTGTTTAGTTTAGATTCAGTCTGTTATTGCTTTGTTATATGTTATACATCACTTGGTGTATTGTCTGGTCTTACACAAATGACAAATATCATTTGTGTACCCCTGCTCTCTCTCGGGGACTGTGGGGCTATGTCTGCATGACACAGTGAGGGGCATTAATAATGGAGAAGTGAGCTACTGTATGTCGGAATGACTACAACACCGTCACGTTGACAGATTGATGAAGCCAGCAATGTTCCATGTCTGAAAAGGGCTATAGTGTGAAGACATCTCTAATCACACATGCCCTTCATGGCTCCTGGGTCACTATGTCATGTTTTTTGTTTCTTTTTTCTAATAAACATCCTCTGAGCTCCTTCAACAGCAACATTTATCCTTAATAACAACCCTGATGAAACATCAATTTACTTATTTATTCAGTTGAGTCTTATGGTGTGCGTCCACCTCCCGGCTCAGATTGTGTTCATTATCCCCTCAGAATGTGTTTGAATGCCTGCTTGAATAAATGAATAAAAATCAAGGATTTTTCCATCATCTTAGTCTAAGAGCCAGTTTTCAGCAAGCAAATTAGATCCACTTTAAAGCTGGATTAAAGATACAATTTCTCCAGTCTGCAGCTTGTTGTTCTGTTTCTTTTGGGGCTAGATTTTGTTTTTATTGATTGTGATTCGGTCCAAACCTAGGGATGTCCACATCAAAGTTTTTTGCCCCAAGTTCGCTTTATATTAAGTAACTACCAAGTCCTGATCTGATATGTTTATATCCTGTAATTAGCACTCTGGTCCTGAGAATACTTTACCAGCATGACAAATGTCACATCTTTTGTTTGAAGAATTCTGTTGTTTAGATGATATTCGATTTGTTCTTTTTTATTTAGGGTGATGCTGTGAAAGACCTCATGCTCCGTTTCCTGGGAGAGCAGGCGGCCACGAAACGTCAGGTCCTCACTGCTAACTCTGTGGAACAGTCCTTCAGTGGTCTCAGACAGCTTGTCGTAAGTCACTCACTGTACTGCTGTGTACAACTCGTTATCAGTCTATGTAGATTCTTAGTCATTCCAGGTCATGGTAGTCCTCGGAGCTTCAGTAGAAAATCATATCATTTTTTAAACCAATATTCAGAGTGTAATAGATTTAAAACGTGATGGAGCTTTACAACATGAGACACCATCTAACATGCAATTGTCACACAAAGAGAACAGCGTGAATCTGTAAAACCATTCACATGACAGTTTAAACTCTGGGTCAGCCATGCTGCAAAATTTGCGAGGTGTGGCTGTTAAATAATCCAGCCACAGCATGCGTACCTGAACCATATGGTGCACATTGATCAATAGACAGCATAAATAACCATTGAAAGTTTTAATGTGCTTGAGTTAGATAAAGTTGAGTTCTAGCATTAGTTTCATTGTTTCATCGTCACACCTTGTATATCCTAGATTGTAGTCTTGGTGATTTGCGGACTGCACTTTTTGAAATTGCAATTTGCATGTGGAATCTAGTAATTGTTCGCCTTATTAAATGACAAAACTGCCAGAAAGCCACCGCTGCTTAGCGTCCTGTTGTGACTGCTGCTTGACTGACCTTTTGACAGTCAGCCTGTAAAGTCAGTGATTCTACTGAAACTGCTGGGTGTTGGGGTCTCAGTTGACTGAAAACAGTGAATCATTCGTCTCCTTTCTCTTCATATTATACTATGTCTGCCAAGCATAAAAATGTGTGTCTTTCTTTGTGACCGCTCAGTCTCACCTCATTCCGTTTCCTGCTGCCATCTATCTGTCTATCTCTCCAGCCCTGATGCATTCCCTCCATCATAATTTCTGACCCACAGATGACCCTGAGAGACAGTTGTTATTTAAAACATATGCACGGCAGCAGCAGCAGCAGACGCTGTGATGGAGAGAGGGGAAAGAGGAGAGAAGGACGGGAGGGGTGGAGTTGAGAGATGGAGAGGTGGAGATCCACTCGGCTCACAAGTTCTTTTCTCCTGCTGTGCCCATGTATTATGCATGGGACTGCTGTGCATATTTCAAGGGCCTTCTGGACTTGGTGTATATATATATATATATATACACACACACACATGCACGCACACACACACAAGATGGTACTTTCAGCTTGCAGTCGGCTGCGCTATATGATGTAGGTGAGTGCGTGTGCGTGGATGTGTGTGCAAGAGGATCATACGCCATCTGCTGATTGGTGTGGGTGGCTCCTTGGAGAAAGAGGCAAAAGAAAGGAGAGAGACAGTGAGGCAGAAATGTAGTGCAGGCCTACAGCAGAGATGTCAAAGAATGAGAAGCAAAGAAAGAGAGAAAGCTGTGTTTTGTGTGTGTGAAAGATACGGAGGCAGAAGAGGGCTTCACCTGGCCCTAAGCACACACAACGGCACGCTTTTTACCTCCGAGTGTGGAAGGCTGCTGTGTGTGTGGCAATCTCTGGAGACGTAGTGATTTGATTATTTGAAGGAAATTAATACGAGTGTTGGTAACTTTTGAATTCAGAAATAACAATGTAAGAAGAGTTATTTCTCGTAAGTTATGAAGTTATTTAGTCAGGAATCATTTAATAACAAACATAATGGTCCAAAATTAACAACCCACAAAGGATTCTGTGTTAGTGGAAGTTCTTCCCTGCTTGATGCCAATGTACCTGCTTTGCACACTGATTCTATTTAATATGCAGATTCTTGGAAGCCTTATGTTTTACTAAGTTGCAATAAGATTTCTTTTTGTTTTTCTTTGCTGGATGAAGTTGTTCACATTTCTTTCAAGGTTTTGTGGTTGGCAACAGCCTCTTGTTTTTTTCTCCATATCTCGGTTAAAATTTGCAGCGAGGGTTTGCGTCTACGTTTTTGTGTTTCTGATGTACCAGTTTAGCACAGCTTGTATGCTGTATAGGCCTTACCAAGGTCTGCTTTTTCATCACCCTTTTACAGCTGAGAAATGAACTTGTCATTGCTTCCTGCAAAACTATAGAATTTTAGGTACGTTTCCTAAATTACATCGAACATATCTTGGCCCATATATATCTGCTGTAGCTCATATTCATTTCTGTCTTCAGAAGCACTTGATCACTGCTGAATGCACCAGAGTTTTGAAGTCAACTCATGTAGATACACAGGACTGTGACTGGGCTTTATGTACTGTCCCACTCAAATAATTGTAACTATTCTTTAATATTTAATTCAAAACCACTTATTACAAATCTATGGAAAAGCTTTAGATTTTCTATTCTAAATATGTAGACACACTGACAGCAGTACACACTATGCTTTTTACAGGAAATTAACACATGCCCGCACAAAACCACTGCCAGCCAGGAAAACCCATGTGATGCTTGTGATCTTTGAGGGAAATTCTCTTTTTACTTGCTGCTTTTTTTTTGCTAGGAACCAAAATTTCTGAGTGAGCTACAGGGCAACTCTCTTACCAATAACTAAGATTCAATGTCTTGTTCAAAAGCAGCTCAATATGGCAAATGATTGCCACCAGAGGGACTTGAACCCAGGGCCTCCAGCTACAGGACAACATCTCCACTCACTGCATCATCCACTATGGATCCAAAAAACCCTGCTCCTTAATAAGGAGCTTGTGTGATAGCTTTGCGTGGCTTTGCTGACATAATATTCAAGGACTGAGTCACTCCCACTGATGAATGGATCAGACACCATCTGCCTTCTCCATCTACTACCATCTACTTGCATTCAAATGATTTACTTACCAATAAATTATAAAATTTCCAAACTTCTAAGATCAAACAAACTCATAGATCAAAGCTGTCGTAGGTGATGTAGCTTGCTGGGCTGGGAGGGGAGGTTCAAATTGAGAAAATGAGAGGATGTGCATAAGCAAGCAGAACATCCACACACACATGCATTTACTCATACTCACACAGGGAAGTCCAAATGTCAGAAAGCTTGTAGCCATTGAAGGTATAGCCTGCTGAGGCTTGATGCTTGTCAGTAAATTATATAAGTATGTGCGTGTATCATTGTACCCATGTGTGACTGTATGCATAGATGAGGATTATCAGAAGCTTGTATGTGTTTACATGCGTTATACACATCATATGATCACTTGTGATCATCTTTTATGTAAGGCCTTTTCCTTCCATGACACTGGTCGTCAGTTCATAGAGCTTTTTTCTGCTGTGTGGCATCCTTATATGTGCGCGTGTGTTGCAGAGCTCTGCTATGAGCTGGCAGAATGAGTCATGCTGCAGAGCCAGAGTGTGACTGCACCCATTGCCACCACATGCTCCCTCCGTTCATACATACGTATACATATGTGCACAAAGTACACAAATACACACAAGACATTTCAGAGGAAGACTCTACATTTCCTCTCTCTCTTTATGTCTCTGTTCTTTTAATCTTGTGTCCCCCTTCCCTCATCTGGTGACTGAGGACATCAGTCAGTCTCTGTAGGAGAGCTGCCATTAGACACATAGAAACACACTCTGTACTCCCTATGATGAGGCTTCATGTAGAGTAAGACTTGCATGCTTTTGCCAGGCACACTGTACCACTGCAAAGAGGGATCTGTAGAAATGTTCTCACTACATCCTCAGGAAACTAAAGCAAATTGTGAGCTATTTCAATCATTGGTTTAAAGAAAATTTGAACGATATAAAAGGTAAAAACAAATAACAATACCCATGATTGTTTCTGAGGATGATAAAGTTTTGAATTCTTTATTGTTGTGGATACATTTTCTGTCAATCAACCAGTCAAATAACTGAAACATGGTTTCAGAAGTAAAAATGACTGTTGCAGTTAAGTAGTTTTACAGGGAAAAAGGGTGAGGAACTGTTGAATGCAGAAAAAAATGCATACATGCATACAAAATTTCAACATGTGACTGGAATACCTCCTTTGGAAAGAATTCATCATTTTTGAATGATTGGGGTGATTTTGTATGGCGGTGCAGCTATTAAAAAAACATAATATATTTCTTTTAAATCGCACTGGCAGGGGCATCTGAAATAATTTTTTGGTTTTGGTTTGTGTTTTTGTTTTGTTTTTTTTAAACATGACACCTGAATCTGGCTTTACACACCCATCATACAGAGCTTTGTGCTGCTGGTTGAATAATGAAAAATGTATCGTGCTGCCTTGTGTGGTGACAATAATTGCAAGACACTACCAACAGAGTACCTGTTTTAGGTTACCATCATCCTTTCCGTTGCCAAATTCTGTAGATTGGTCAAAGATGATAAGATTGGTTTTCTTTATGTATCAAGCAGCAGAAAAAGTTGTAGCATGATGTATTTCAGTTGATTTGCCTGCAGTGTGACTTATCAAGCTTGCGCACGTCACAATTTTGATGCTGCAATTAACTGTTGTGCAACCCTAATCATTGTACTATAGACATTTTCTGACTCTCATCCACTTCCAGTCCTTGTTTTCTTGATCCCATTCTGAATTTATCTTTAGCCCATCTCCTCTCAAACCACAAATGCGACAGTGTTCCATATGTTGCACAATATCTGACTGCGACTGCTTATGTTTAATGCCTCATTGGATGTTTATGTAGCTATATTATGCTGTCCGAGATTTCATTCTTTGGTGACTACAGCGTGATCTTAAACAACCAAAACTTGCCAAAAACTACAAAATTGGTTGCTAATAAACCAGAATCTATCTGAAATGTAAGTCTATTTGTCTTTTCATTGTTAAGGAAATATAAATTTTAGAAAATGTTGCCCATTGAGGTAGTAGAGTCGATGAACTAAGCTTGGTTGACTCTCCTCTCCTCCCCTCTACTTCTCCCTTGACCTCTGTCTCCTCTCTTGTCCCTGCTGTGGTGTGGTCAGCAGTGAGCTAGTCTCTAGCTCAGCACCACCCTGGGCTGGCCTCATCTGTCTCTCTCATTAGCAATCACCCCCCTTCTCTCCTCCTCTCCCCCTCTTTCCCTCCTTCTCCTTCATCTCTGTCTCTCACTTCCTTCCCTCTGCACTACCCACCGGAGACTCTAACCTCTCTTTCCTCCCA